AAATTTAGAACTCATGTTTCTATATGTAATAAAGTTTCTACTTGAGCATTATTTAATAAAAAAAAAAAAAAAAAAAAGAGGTTATTGGTTTTAAATTTTTTAAATATTTATTTTATTTATCTTTTTATTTTTTTATTATTGTTATTTTTAAAACTTTTATTTTTATAAACTTTCTTTTATAATAGTAATTTTATATTCTTTATTTAAAACCAAAAAAAATCTTCTATATTCTTCCTTAATTTTAACTACCTTTTTAATTATATTATCTAATTCAAACTATTTCTATTCTTTTTATTCTTAATCTAAAATAATTTCTTTTTACTCTTTTCCATAACTACAATCTTTTTTCTTATTACTATTTTTATTTTTATCATTATTCAAACTAATACATCACAATCAATTTATCATTAAATTTATATTTATTTTTTCGATTTAATAAATTATAAAATATATTATTTTCAAATTATATATTATTACTATTATATTCTATTACTTTTTTTTTATTTAAATCTCTTATTTTCATTAAATTATTCAAAATATCTTCTTTTATTTCTTTTTCTTTTCTTTCAACCTTTTTATTCATATTCATTCTATTTTATAAAAAGAAAATTATTATTATAATATAAATAAAAGAAGAATTTTTTTATTTTTAATTTACATCAATAGTTCATGTATCATATTTTTTCATAACTTTATATTCTCTACAGTTATTTTAATCTCATTCTTTAAATTCATTTCTCCTTCTCCCATTCTTGTTTTTTCTTATTCCACTTCAACTCCTCTTTAATTTTACTCTTTAATTCATCTCTATCAATTACCAATTTAATTTTCTTTTCTCAAGCACTTTGTAATACGTATCGCCTTCAAATGTTTTACCTACTGTCACCTATAGAACCATTGACTCACTTTCTGCTGCAAATACTCTGCCAATCAGGCGTTGGTAAAATGGGCGTCACTAAAATGAGTGTCGGAAAATTTAGTGTCATCACTCTAAAACTATGCCAAACGTATTCCAACCTTAATAGCGAAAAAGGTTGGATTTTTTTTTACATGTCAGTACTACAGGCGTAGCTGCTAAGCCAATTTTTAGATTTCGGGCTTAGAGTAGGTCAGCTAAAAAACACTAGTCATATGCATAAAATGATCTTTCGGTAGACTTTCTGCTTCGGGCATTTTGCAGCTCATGTGATAAGCCAATAACAACGTATTTGGAGGAAAGTATCATTAAATTGGGTATTTGCAGAAAATGGACAAATCATAGTTGATACTTTGGCAACCCTGCTTCTCAAGAAGCATGTACCGGTAAGTAGATACGAATACGAAATTTGGTTTCCAAATAAATACTGTAGCATAGTACAAAGTGAAACATGTTTGCGGTTGGCAGCGATACAATCGTCCTTGAGGTTAGTGTACACAAACAATTAGAAAATCAGTCCTTTTTTAAAAATCTGATCATAGAAATTTACATGTTCTTCTCTTGAATTGCACTTAATAAATTTAACGTTAAAAATGGTGCGAATAGGTTCTATCAGAAAAATATTTCGGAAAATAGATACTCGACTTCAACTTTTATTTTTGAATTTGTTAGTTTTTGGATCACTGACATATTACATTATAGAAATTGGATATACTTATCCAACCGTCTTTAGGCACTCTGAATGGTTTAGAGAATCACCTTCCAGACTTTTATACAATTTGGGTTCACGAGTGTATTTAAATAATGTTATACAACTTCCAAAAGTACAATATGAATTTTTCTCTAATGAAACAATCGAAGAAAAACGATTAAGGGAATCCCGCCGTGATTCAATAAAAAATGGGTTTCTTCATGCCTGGAATGGATATACAAAATATGCATGGGGATACGATGAATTATTACCATTAACAAATGTGGGTAGGAATAATTTTAACGGATGGGGAGCAACTATAATTGATGCATTAGACACAATGTGGATTATGGATTTAAAAGAAGAATTTAATCGTTCAAAGGATTTTGTTCGATCAGTAGACTTTACAAAAAGTGATGAAAACATCAACGTTTTTGAGACTACAATTCGTTATCTCGGTGGATTATTAAGTGCATATGAATTGTCAAAAGAACTCGTATTTCTGGAAAAAGCACAAGAATTGGGTAATGCTTTGTTACCTTCTTTCGATAGTCCCACCGGGTTGCCATATAATTCATGGAATCTCACATGGTTTGCTTATCTGTTAATAACAAAAGATTTGTTATGCATTATCATGTAACAAATGCTAACTTTATCGAATGCAGGGGCTTAAATAAAAAAAGTTACGAACTCTCTGGACCGCCCTGCCAATTATTTAGTCGTTGTAGTAGGACCAGTATATTAGCTCAAGTTGGAACTATGCAGCTGGAATTTATGAAGTTATCACAACTAACTGGTGATAGCCGGTTTTTTTTTAAAGTAAGCTATTATCCTAGCAATTATCCATTTTTCTCGAACATTTTTGGTTAGATATCAACCTTATAATGTTTAAAAAGGTTCAAGATGTGATTGAAATTCTTGACCATGCAGAGAAATATACTCCTGGATTATACCCTCTGGAGATCGATCAAGGTTTGAAACATCCAGTATTATAACTTTCCAAATGTTGAATTGTATCATCCATTTAATTTACTGTCTATTCTTTTAAACTTTATAGACTCTGCTGAGTTTATAGGATGTAAGCGTTCATGACCGCTGCTTTTATAAATTTCATTACAGATTATAAATGCTTCATCCATCATTAATATATTTCTTGGTTAGCTCATGTGTCTTTTGGCCCTTTGGGTGACAGTTTTTATGAGGCACGTGTGCATGTAATCTTTTTTAATCTACTTTTAGTCCAATTATGAAATTATCTCATTATTTAATTTGTGAACAGTACCTACTTAAGGTATATGTTTTTACCGGAGGTGCATTGGACCAATACCGGAGAATGTGTATGTATTTTTATTCATAAAATGCAAATATTTCAATAACGTTTCATTTTCCTAAATCATTAAATTACTCAGACATTGAATCTGTCGAGAGCATGCGTAAATACCTTATCAAAGAAGGTAGGGTTAGAGACAGATCCGATTTACTATTTCTTGGCGAATTATTTCATGATATGTTTTCTGGAAAAATGTGTCATCTGGTAATTTAAATGTATTTTATTATGTTATATTTTTGTTTAATTACTGTTTAGCACTGCTTATGATATCTCCATTAAGCATGGTTAAAAATCCGATATTATTCATCATACCTATCAATGTGATTCTTTAATAATATGAGGGTATAACTATAATTGTATCAAAGTATAGTACTCGGTACTGAACATTTTAAAAAAGTGAAAGTTTTGAATAGGATCTTGAGTAATATAAGCAGTGATAGATGGTATATATCTCTTAATTTTAATGACAAATTGATTATTTCATAATAATAAATAAGGCGTGTTTTGTTCCTGGCATGCTTGCGGTTGATGCAAAAATTCTGGATCGACCAGATGACCTTGAAATTGCCATTGGATTAGCAGAAACTTGCTACTGGTCTTATAATGTGACTGTAACTGGACTTGGACCAGAAGAATTTTGGTTTCTTACATCCGCTGATGAATTAAGTCAAAATGAAATTGATTGGTTAAAAAAACAAGAAGAAACTAATAATCTTCCGAATGGATTGGTTAGAATATCACCAACTTATTTGCTGAGGCCAGGTATCAAACGGTTTGAATTGTGCTCGGTTTATTTAAATTTCTACCTCATACTAATAAGCTTTTGTCCGTTATAAAATGATTTAATAGAAACTGTCGAGAGTTTATTCATTTTGTATAGGATAACAGGTGACAAAAAATATCAAGAAAGAGGATGGAAGATATGGCAGGTAACGTTAGATATTATTTTTTTATTTATTTTTTTTTTTAGTTTACGTTTTGATTTCCTATTTGTCATAGGCCATCGAGAAATGGTGTAAAACGTCAACAGCATATTCTGGACTGAAAAATGTCAATACGGAAAAAGCCGAAATGAATAATATTATGGAAAGGTAATTTATTTCATATTAGTTTTTTCAATTATATAGAGATATAATTATATATTCTAAGATTCTAACATCTATGAAAATTTAATGTGTAGTTTCTTTTTTGCAGAAACGTTGAAATATTTATATTTGCTATTCAGTCCACCTGATGTTATATCATTGGATACTTATGTATTTAATACTGAGGCACACCCTTTACTTAGAATGTTAAAACATTAATATATTTGTTATGATAATTATTCGTAATTGTTTTGTTTTCCTCCCATGAATTAATTTAGTGTATGATAAAAAAACAGTGACTGATTTTAAATTTTGTAATATATTGCACTTTGGAATAACTGTCTATAATAAATACAAAAATGCAGTAGGATGGTGAATAGGCTTGGTATTTAATAGACATTGTTTATACAACGTTGTGTACATATTGGATAAAAATCGTAAAGTCTAATTAAAAAATTGTAAATAGTCAACTTTATACTAAAGATTTCTTTAATTTGAACGATTGTGAACTTACATCATAATGTACAATGATTTCCAAAATGAACACATCACTCTGATGCGTAACCTAAATATTTCATGATGCAGAAGTTGTAGTATAAAAAATAATTTATTAAAATCATAAATTTCTTTGTGTAATAATGAAAAAATTAATTTGTTGATTGTTTCTGGCATTTCATGCGATTCATTTTTTTTTCAGGTTTAAAGAGCGACGTCTATGCTTGTGATCTTAATTAAGATTTACAACCTACAAATATTACAGGAGAGCATTACAATTAATCACTTGTGCAATTTTAATAATTATCTATTTAAAGGTTTCACTTACAGGTTACCTACTAATTGTCATACCTGAAACCTATCTGTGGGTTCCCTATTTAAAGTCTCTGATTTTCAATGTTGTTTCTGTAGTATCAACTTAATTTTTTAATAACAGACATTAGAGTTACTTTAACCTCAATGCAAATTCTACTGAATGGAAGTAGATCTCATAACTACACTTATTTGGATTTATAGCATCAGAGATAATTTTATATTAAGTAAGGTTAATCTTATTCACAAAGGTTGATAACATTCTTCATATTTCTTACTATAGTAGTGCTTATACTTTATTATATCAGTTTTCTTCTAAGAATTTCTTAGATAAATATGTATCTTTATTTAGATTTTTATAAACTTTCACATCTGATTATAGGTTCTATTTTTAGTTAGAAAATATTTTATCTTCAGTTAGACTTGAGTCATTGATCTTATCTGTAAGAGATGAGAATTTAATAATTAAGTTATAGGATCCAATTCTATATATATTTTTTTTTAAATATTAAGGTAAGTACTTGTAACCTAGAATTTTATTGATAGTATATTTGACTAATAGTTGCATTACAACTACAGGAGACAACCATGGAAAGAGTGTACAACTAGTTACTTATACAACTTTAGTCATTGTTTAATTTAAGTAGTCTGTCTAAAAGTTCTACACTAGCTGCCATACCTGAAATCTGCTTGTAGGTTTTCTATTTAACCATCCTAGTTTTCATATTCACCTGTCTACCTCTGTTTATTAATGATCCTGACTGATGTTGATAAAAATATGTCATAGTCATTAAGTCTTTAAAGCAGTTCTTTAAAACCTTTAATTTTTACTAAACCTTCTAGAATCTTCTGTATCTCATTCTTACAACTGACTTGATATTGCTATGATCAAGACCAATACTGGTAATCAGAATGTACTATTAAACTGCTATACCTTTGTAGAGTTTACCTCAATTCTGGTACTTAATTCACAACATATCCTTACTACTTTAGTATTCAATTCAAGTTCTACCAAGCTGTTATTTCAGATAGTCTGAAAAGATAAGTTGAAACTATACACCTCTGGTTTATATGTTTGCTAACATGTACTTTTTTTCTGTAGAATTTGGAAATTCCAATAGCCTGGTTGGTTCATCTGGTTTCTCTTCAAAGACTAATACATTTGCCTGGTTTTACAAGTTTTAGCTCTGTTTTATAAGTCTAGTCTTTACAATAGTATTATCAAAAATTCAGATTACTTCTCTATTCAGATCTTCCAAGTGGGCTTCTGTTTTTTTTCTTTTGGTTTCTATGATTTACATAGCTATAAGAACTTATTGTAGGTTTGCATCACTTTGTATCAGTTTGCATTTCTTTGTATAACTACAGACCTTGTTTCAAAAGACAATATCATATAACTGTTACACCAATGCCATGTGACTTGCCAGTTATGCTAGTATAATACAGATAATAGGTGTCTTATCCCAACCAATTACATGAGACAGTTAACTATAACATAGTGAGAATTTTTCAAATTTTCTGTTGATACTGGAATTTGAACTCTGAACCTGCCACTTGAGGTTAACAACCTGACCACTTTATTTCTAATTCTATATTTTATATAAATTATTTTTATATTTAAATAATAAATTTGATAAAAAACAATTATTGTTATAGTTTATACTTTAATTGATTAATGCTAAAATTTGTGAGTTCTTATTTGGATTCATAGTATCTATTAAAATCTATATATACTTTTTTATTAATAATATAGTTAACACAGGTTGAATAAATGAATAAAGAATGAATAATAGATAAATAACAGAAAAAAAAACTGCCATTATTCTACTCTATATCCACCAAATAATGGCAGCATAACAGCAGTATAACAGCAAAATAACAGTAAAATAACAGAAGATTTGTCAATATAAGTAACATAATAGTAACATAATAGCAAAATAATAGAATAGTTCTATTATTTTACTTTTAGTCTTTGTAACTAAAAGTAAAATAATAGAACTGTTCTATTATTTTGCTATTATGTTACTATTATGTTACTCATATTGACAAACCTCCTGTTATTTTATTGTTATTTTGCTGTTATGCTACTGTTATGCTGCCATTATTTGGCAGATATAGGGTAGAATAATGGCAGTTTTTTTTTCTATTATTTACTTATTATTCACTCTTTATTCATTCATTCAACCTGTATAACCTTTTATAAATACACATATTATTTATATCTTCTTTAAATACATACTAATATTTAGTTCAAACATATAGTATACTTAATAAAATATGTCTTTTATAAAATAGAATGAACAAATAAATAAATAATAAATAATAAATAATAAATAAATAATAGGAAAAAATCTACCAATATATTTTTTTTTTTTTAACTTTGGCGACAATGTCAGTTGGTTTTTATTAGCTTAATTTAATATAGTACAAATTATGGTTACATTTTAGGATTAATTATTACTAGTACTATATACTATTTAATTTAACACTACTGACTTCACCTAGTTATCTTTATGACACCTTAGTGCATGTCCACCGCATGCCTGCATGCAGTTACCTTGGCAACCACTTGCAGTCATGGCATACATTAAACTGCTACACAGACAAGGATACCTACTGAACTTAATATGACATCCTAAATGTCAGGAGTACTGTCTTCTGTAAATTGTAGCTATATGTTCCACTCACATGTTTTATCTAGTCTTGTTTCTTCTGTCTTCTAATCTAACTATATCTAGTATTACCTTGTTTCCCATATTTCCCATCTTTTTGTTACTGTATCACTCTCAAATTGGTTCTACTCAGGTATATCTGATTCTTATAATCTTTCTATCTTTGGTTTGCCTGTTATTGATTCCCCTAAGGTGTTCTGACAATGGTCCAGGATCTACAATGAACCTGTATCTCAAGCCAGATTTGCTGCTGCCATTGATCTTTTGACCAATCTGTATTTCAAGCCAAACCTGCTGCTGCCGTTCCTGCAGATGCCTCAGGTCTTAATGTCATACAGTAACTCGATGCTGCATTTAACCTCCAACATGGTGCTTCCTTTTATGATAAAAACTGGGACTTGTTGCACTTATAAACAGTACAATTCTAGTTATACTTAGGGAGTTCCTCTGACCCTAGTGATACTATACTACTATGTATTGCAAGCTCCCAGCTTATTCAACAATACCTGTAGGACAATTCTGGTTATGCCCAGGGAGTTACACCAACTTCAGTGATGCCATACTACCTTGCAGATCTTATCTCATATTGGTTGGTTGATTCCTAGTCTTGTTTGTCATAGCCTTTCATATAGGTATGACCAGAACCTGATTTGGTACTTTTACATTGCACAAGGAGGTTATACACCTACCTCCAAGATCTTCTCTTCTATAATTAGATTATTCGGCTGTGTCAGAGGTGCTTCCAATTTTTGGTTAGACCAATCCTTTATTACAGTTCATCCTCATGTTCACTGCTTCTCTCACCATTCCATCTTGGTTACTTGTCAGACTACTCTCCCAATCAAATCCTCTCTTTGGATCCCAATTAAGACTTATTTGCACAATCCGTTAATTATCCTTCCAAGCAAGTACCTCACAAGTTGAGTACAAGGATGTTGGTACTGCCTATATTGGAAGGTATAAGGATGTTGATGTTGCCCTAGCCTAAAGGACTTACATGCACAATCTTTCTATAACTGTAACCTTCTGTAACAACTGCTTGTTACACATAGTGCCTGCACTTCACAATTGGGTCTCCTTCTATAAATTCCTATTTCCATCATTGTACTGTACTTGAACTTAACCACAGAGCTTTATATTCAATTACAGGCTTCTTATTAAGTTACAGAAGCTAAAATCATTTTAATTTTGCCTCCAGCCAGACTTGAACCATTGACCTTGACTGTAGAGGGTATGGAAGCTTAACTGCTAAGCTATGGAACCCACACCTAAAAGTATTTTGCTATATAATAATATTTTATATATTTGTTAGTTATTATAAAAAATATTTTATATTGTTATTTATTAGTTTATATTATTATTAATATAATAAATATTATTCTAGTTTATATATATATATATATATATATATATTTTCCTTTAAGCAGTCATGCTAGTACTTTATTAAGATTTTGGAATTACATTTGCAATTACATAAATATACTTAACTACCAAGCCTAGCATCACTCAGCCACCCTAATAGTACCTAAGTGCAACCTGCTGCATTACTTATGCAAAAGTAAGCTGCTTATCCAACTACTTAAAGTCCATAATGAAAGGATCTTCTTCCTTTTATAACAAGCCCTAAAATTGTCTTCTGTGTTTCTTTTCTGATTTGTTTTTCTTTTTCTTTCGCTTTCTGTTTTTTCTTCTCTATGGTTTGCTGATTTGGTTTTTCTTTTTTCTTTGGTGCTTCCTTCT